ATTTTATTTTTGGCCAATCACTTTGTTTTTTGCTATTCAATCACTACAAGAAAGCCATATGGAAGAATTCCTTAAAATCTTGGCAATTGTGCTGGGTATTTGATTTTTGCCAGGCCAATTGCAAAAGCCATCCATCATGCTGGCCGGGGTTACAGTTTGCTTGGAAAATGGGAAGCTTTCCCATTGACCAGTTGACACAAATTGCGGGCGTTAATTTTCACCATTAGCCGGGGGCCAAAACGGAAACGATGTCCGACAGTTTGTCAACTTCGATTTGTCCTTGATTTTCTATGCAAATTTTCCCCCATCGATAACAGGGGGCAAACCATAATCAATATGGCACACAGCCTGTTTTGTCTTGGCCAAACGGAAAAACAGGCAAAAAGTGAAGCACACAGAGCAAGAGAAGGGGGAAAAAACATGGAAAATGAATGTCAATGATTGATTGAACTTGTCACCAAGTGGCTCTTATCAACGCATTCATATTGCTATTTAATTACAAAACTTTTCAACTGTTTTGAGGTTGTGCTGTGTGAGTTTTGCGGTGTGGCGAAAACGAATATAATGTGGAAATGTGAAAATGCGGGGCTGTAATGAAATTCCCCTGGCGTGTTTAATAATCTCGGATAAGTGAAGGGCAAAAGGAAGAGTTTTGGGCGTGAGAAAGGCGAGCCCTGAAATAAGTGCAAATTGAAATATTACGTATACGCACAATTGCACACTGTGCGAGGTGGGGAGGGAAAAATGGGAAATTCAGTTAGTCAAAGCACAAGTACACTCTTTGAAAAAAAACAATAAAATAGAAAACTCTGAAATATACGCGCTGTGTTAGATAAAATACCTGAAATATTTTCTTAAATTTTCTTTTTCGTTTTCCAACAAACCATTCTTTTTTTTTTGTAAATTTATAGCTTTATTAATACAAATTAAATTTTCTTGAGCCAAGATGTTCATCAATTTAAATTAAGCATCTTCCTGACCGAAAAACCCTATTAAAATGTCACCCCGAAACGGGTTCCCAGGGTCCATAAAGCCGGGAATAAAAGCTTAGCATTCCGTGGAGGGTGTTTTAAGTCGCCCCCGTCATGTTGACAAAGATTATGTGACAATAAGCTTAGATAATTCATTTGCTACGAGGAGCACATAAAGCAGCCTCACCAACACACAAACACACACATCCAGGGGGGAAAACCAAGGGGAAAAGCGGTGAATAGGGGGGAAGGGAGAGAAGGGCGGTGAAGGAAAATGGGCACTGAACAGAAGCAGCTGTCAATTGTGTAAATATTTTGTGGCAAAAGTACAAATAGAAATGCTGTCGATAAATCGAAGCACATGACTAGCCTTGCATTAACAGCTGCGACTTGTATCGTGTATATCCGTGTGTTGGTGTGTGTGTATTGTGTTTCGATGTAAAACGGGGGGAGAAAGCGACGAAAGGGGGAGTGGTGAGGGGGTGCTACTTAGGGGGAGCTGTCAATTACATTTCAATCATTTGAAGTTCGTGCCGCATGGGAATGGGTGTAAATGAGCCATCGAAACGGCGAGTGCCTCATCAGCAAAATAGCTTAAGAACGAGTGTAGTAATGAGTGCGAAATGAGTATCGAGATGATGAGAAAGTACCACAAGGGATGAGTTGTGAGTAGGAAGAGGGCAGCTAATGAGTAGCCACTAAGTATACAATAAGTAAGTAGTGAGTAGATAAAAAAGAAGAGAAAATGAGTCGCCAGAGTGAATATATGAGAAAGGTCCTGTCACTGAAAGGTCCTCTAAAAAAAACGATGACTATGTATACAGAAACAAAATTTTCCTTCACCAGTAATAAGAACAACACGCTATTGATAAGTGTTCCGACTATCAGATACCTATTACATACTCTTGAGTAGCAAATGAGTCGCTAGAGCAAATATATATAAGAAAAAATGGCCACACTAAACGGTTCACTTAAAAATACAAAAACATACTTTTCTTTATCAGTAGTTAATACAAGAAGGAAGTGCCCCGACTATCAGATACCTATTACCAAGTTTTCATACTTATTACGTATGAACACATTTTATTCAATGAAATATATTTAGTATGTATAATCGCAAGCATAGACTATTAATCATATTGCCAATTGGCCATTACATCGGTTGCCATGCCCTTTTCCGCTATAAACATAAATTGTGTGGCAGTGAGCTACTCATTTGGAAAGCATTTTCAGCCAACTGCAAATAAATGAATAGCTCGCTGGTACATTTGCCTTGCAAATGTGACTCATAAAAATCAAGAAATGCACGCACCGAGAAGTTCGAATCGAACACTTCCACTTTTTTCCATTTAAATGTAAATTGGAGACACATGTGCTGGCATTTGGGGTCGTAGCATTTCATTCCCATTTTTTTCTTCCTTTTTTTTGACAATTTTCCTCTGTGGTTTCCATCGCAGACATTGGGTTTTGATCAAATTTGTCTTAATTTGCCAATCAGTTTGAACTGCCGTTCGTTATTTTAAGCGGTTCGAATGCAAATCCCCCAAATCGTCGAACACTCAGGCCGATAAGTGTGTCGCCTGATGCTCCTTCGGCAATCGATATCGATATCTATGGCTATATGGCAGGGAAATCTAATCGACCTAATCGTCAAGATTTTTATGGGTTCTTTCTTCTAAATGCGGTAAATGAATTCCAATGGACTTCCCAGTCGCAATGTCGCCAGGGGAGTAGTCATACGTCAATCAGCTTTTGATCGAACTACAGTGGACACCCGGTTATGTCACACGGCCGAATAAACTTCGGTGTTATCTACTGTGAATTGTATAATTCTCATATTTTTTTTTTTGGTTGGTTGGTTGGGGCTTGTAGAGCTCTTGTCCCCGGAATACCTACTTCAGGCCTTAAGTCGTCGGGTCTCTATCGCATTTGGGGGCTTATCTTATCGACTGGCCAGCGACCACCCCCATCCATCCACCGATCTATTATGAAACATTTCGCATTTCTGTTTCGTGATTAATTTTGAATAAAATAGCCGCTGCTAAGTAATGGCGGATTTAAGAGAAGTGAGTGAGTGTAGTGTGCAAGTGAGACATTTGAAATAAGCCATCCGAAATACACTGGGCACCAAAAGTATTGATTGTTTTTTCATTTCAGAATTTTCGAATTGATTTTTTAGGGACTACAAATTATTTACTTTAGTTAGTAAAGAAGAAAATATTTAAGTAATTTCAATATTAATATATCGTTATATAAAATATTCTTTAAAAAATACTAAAATTCAAATGGTTAAAATGGTTTATAAAATTAAAGAAAGTACTTGTAAAACACAGCCAACTAAATCTCTTATAAAACCTTAAATTACTCTTGATTTTAAAAGAGATTTTCTCCTGTTGGCATTTTTCGGTAGGCACTGTGCTGCATCCATCAGCCTCTTCATCTTCATTATCGAATGGCAGACATTGCTGCAGATGCATTTCCCTGATAGGCCTTCGGGGGCGGCGATGCGGTTCCCGTTTCACAGGGGGCGTGGCAGCGGGATGCCAGGCCTCTGCTCAAGTGCCCCTCATCGAGTGGCATTCTCTTATATGAGTGGATCCGTTCGAATGAGCAGCATAGCATATCACATATACTATATATTCGGGCAATTAAGAGCGAGTCTGGCGCTTGGCCCACAGGCTGATGAGCGTTAATATTGATGGACTGGTAAATGGTAAATGGCATAAATGCCTAATTGAACTGTAGAGGACAAAGGAATTTTAAGGATGCCGAATATTAAGGAAATGTAACAAAAATTAATTACTGCCTTTGCCATTTGGTTATTACTCGAAAGCTTGGCCATAAGTTGTAATGAAATTGACCATGAGTAATGGCTGAATTTAAGCGGGCAAAATAAAAGCTGGTTTTGCACTAATTGATTGGATATTCGTTGGCCAGCTTTTGACTTAGCAACTGATTTATTCGATGAGTTTATCCTATTATTTATTGAATCCACTGTTGACCTTTTTAACTGTAAATATTTCTGGGCTTGCAAAATACATTTTATTAGGATGTGTAAACTATGTACATCGATAACTATGCAAAACTGACATTTATAATAACACAAAACTGCCCTTTGGAAAACCAATAACTCACTCACTTTTTCAAGCCCTTAAATCAGAAACAGCAAAAGTCATTTTGTTACATGTAAACGTAATACAAATCGTTGCAATTAATTATAAATAATTGTGGACCAGCATGTGGAATTAATTGCGGAGCTTCTGTGAAAATTCGCAGCTGAATCTAATCCGACGAAATGCATTTATTATTTCCCCTTCCATTCTCGTTCCACAGAAATAAATAAATAAAATCACGCTCAACAAGTTTTGGCTTTGTGTTTGCTTTGTATAAAATGCAGTGAATCAAAGCAACCCTAAAAAGTCAAACCGTATTTAAATACGCATTCAATTCCGTGAATATTATGGCCAAAATCCAACGGAGCCTGCCAAAAACAATGGCCCGCTGGCACTCAGACAGCTGCGTTAAAAATAATATGGCTCGAACGGAAAAGGATAAAAAAAAAGGCCAAATGCGAAAAATACAACCTTTTTGAAGTAAATTACTCTCTTTTTTGAAGTCAGAGGATCTCCGAGAGCAAGAATTCGGTAAAATTATATTATTTAATATCAATTTTACCAGTATTGTATGGTAAAAACGATTTGTGTACAAATCCAAGAATGTTACCATTCGCATATCAATTTGAACTTGACGGTTTTTTTTGTGTGCAATATATGGTTTTTTAAATTAATTTGCTTGAAACCCCCAATCACCACTAATATTTTGAACACATTTGTGCCTTTTTGCACCACATTTGAACCGCAAATCGAATCAAATGCAATCGATTGCAAAATAATACGCGTTTCAAGGGGAATATCTGTGTATGTCTATACAATACAATATTATTTGGGTTTTCGGGGGGAACCAAAAGTATGCAGCAATGAGGCAAGATTGTTTTTCGTATGAAATATTAATTAAATAATTCCTGGTTACCTTTTGAGGGCGGTGGGTCCTGTTTTCCCTGTAGATCCTGCGGTGGTTTCCTGTTTTGTTTTGTTTTCTTTTTTTGTGTTTTTTTGGTTTTTTTTGTTTCGGTTTTTTTTTTGGTTTTTTTCCGGGGAACTGGGCTGTAAGCCCACCGACCTGACTTACGGCACAATTTGTTTTAATTGCTTTTTGGCCTTAGCTTTTTTCTTCCGCTTCTCTTGAATTTCTCGGCGTTTTATGTATTTATCTCTGCTGCTGTGGAAATTAACGCGCAATGCAAACAAAAGGGAAATTCAACATTTTCAATATGTATTTTACACCTTTGTGACTTTTCGTGTTTTTGCGTGTTTTTTTCGGTTATTTCGTTTTTTTTTTGGTGAAAAACAGTTTTGTCTCGTCCGCCGTTTGGCTTTTGGTTTATTTTTATCGTTCCGTTCGTTTCAGGGCCCCAAAACCAAAAACAACAAGAAAAAAAATAAATAAAATACGGGAGCGGGCAGAAGGAGCGGCATATTCATCCACTCGACTGCTCAGTTTTATAAATAAGTTCTGTGTTTTCGGTTTTCTGTTCGCCGCTATATTGTTGCCAGCGAAATGAATTTTAAGCCCAGCTAACATGATGATTATGTGACCCCCATCCATCCATCCATCCATTTATCCTAGCAGAATATATCTGCAAGATCCGAGTTACCAGATACCCGATACCGTATTGCCATGCACCATTTAAGATTTACATTTACATTTACTGCACCAGAGAATGCGTTAATTATGCGACACGAGCACTTAGACATCGGACCCACAAGCATTTCAATTTTGACGAATTCCTTGGGTTCCCTGTCTGCTTTTTCTTTCACTTTTTCTGCTCGGAGCATCTTGGCTTCTTTACTGGATTAGCAAAGAACTCTGTGCTTTTAAAATTCTCTTGTCGAATTTCGGGCTGAAGAGCTTCATTAAATTTAATTATAGCATCTGGCAGAAATATTTCCAAGCTGTTATCTTTACCTTTAAGTCTCTACAATATTATGGGGTATTTAAATATTTTTCCCCTTTTTTAGTAATATTATTTTTTTATATTTTTATTTTGTTTTTGGTTTGTATGTTTTGAATTTTAAATTTAGAACTACTACTATAAATTTTTTAATGAAAAAAAAATTTCATAACCTTTAAAAATAAAATAATTTTTTTCTTTTTTAGTAATATTATTTGTATCAATATAGTAACCTTCTTATCTTTTTTCTCTTCTTTTAATTAAATTGTTAATTTAAAAAAAGGACGTCAAACAAAGTATTTCAAACAAAAGAGAACCTTAACTTCGTTTACTCGAAGGTGTCGGTCGCATTTAGTTTTCTCATTTTCTTCGACTCGGGGATAAAGACACATTTTTAAATTGTTTTGCCAGCCGCACAAAAGTTCGTCAAAATGTGTTAATTTTCGTGGCCTATTGTGCGGCATTGTTGTTGCCATCGGGGGCTTTCTATATGGGCGACGTCTAATAATTTTGATTGCTGCCAACAAATTCTTAGACAGACGGCCGCATTTCGTTCGGCTGACTAAGTGAGGGCAAAGTAAGTGAAAAATAATAAAAAAAAATAAACAACAAAAATAATAAAATACAAATACAAATAGAAGAGAAACAGAAGCCCCCAGAAGTGGACGACTCAGTGACTATACTTTCCCCACCCCACCCTTCCAGATTCCACACCCTTGGTATCCGGGTCTGAATTCGACACATTTTTATAGAGTTTATGCGTTTATTACGCTAATTGTTGTTGCTGTTTGCGTACGATAGCAAGTGATATGAAAACTTTGACTAGTTCCTTTTTTTATTCTATTTTGTTCTTTTGTTTGCTTTTTAGCAATTGTGATTTATTTTTGAGTCATCGAAACTTTTGCCCGAAGTTTATTGGGATCAAAAAACCCGCTCAAGTTCAACCCTCTTTGGCTACTTGAGTCCATAAACAGTTTAGGATAGAGTTTAGGAAATTTTCGACAAGATAAAAAGTACGCAAGAGAAATTAGTTGAACATTTCTGAAAACTTTGTTGAAATGGACTATACAAAATATTTGGAATCTTGAAATTTAAATTCTTAACAAGAATTTTTAAGTTTATGAAACATTTCCACATCATCATGAAATCTTTACTTTTAAGATGATGTTTCTTTCTCTTTATTTTCTTTTAATGTTATGATTAATTATTAAGATTTAATTTTTTAAAAGTATTTAATACTTATTCTGAAGCCAGGCTTTGTGTTCATATGCTGCGCAATCCCGATAATTAGCTTTGGCTCCACTCCATTTCCTAATACATGCTTTTCCATACCCTTTGATCTGGAAATCTCCCCTGGGAAAGCAGCCCTTGGAGCTTTCGCCCCCGCTTTCCCCTCCCCACCGTCAGCATCATTAATCACCTGGCACTTCTTTTTGTTTTTAAACAACAAAATAAGACCGTCGATTAATCAGCGAATCGCTTATAGGAAACCGATGATAACAATCTATAAAAGCGATTAATTGTATTTTTTTTATATATATTTTTTTTTTTATTTCCAGCGCAGCTATTTATGGCATTTTGTCATTTGGCTATTCTTGATCTGGCTTTGACAAACTCGACGCCCCCATGTCATTATTTTCTTTGTAATTTGTTGAGCTACCTTTTAAGGTTCTATGAGGGCCCTGCAACAAGTTTTGTGGTTTAGTTTTAGTCCGGGTCTCAAGTGTTCCTACGGCGATCACTTCACTTCACTTAACAGTTGTGCACTTTGATTTGCTTTCTTATTTATTTATTTTACAGATTTTTTTGTTTTAATTTCTCAAGCACTTGGGGTGCACACACGACCAAAAAAAAGTAACACTGGGAAAAAAAACGTTGTAAGGGGAAACGCACTTGGGGCACACGTGCTGATGTTGCTGCTGTGATGTTGCTGTTGCCGCTGTGATGTTGCTGCTGCCGCTGTGCTGTTGCTGCTGCTCAGAGGTCTGATTTGCAACTGGCAACTGGCGATGCGATAAGCCGCCGCCGACTGGCAATCGGTGGTTGCCTCGGCTGCGACCCGAGCCACCGCCCCCCTGGGACTGCCGCACCACCGAATCGGCGGGTGGTTCGATTCGAACATGTTGCCGACCGGGAAACATAACCGATCCGGTGGCCAAAATTGGCAGGCAATGTGCAAGGCAATCAAACAAATAAAACAAATCGAAGGGCTAAACACAACAGTGGTTTTTTGAGTCGACTATTACATACCCGTGGGCTTTTAAATATCGAAAGGGATTTTCAGAAAAAGGTATATTCATTTTCTAAAGCTCTCAAGTGTAGTAGAGAATAATAAAAAAATCCTTGATATAGTAGGTACTTATGCGAAAATTAAACTTAAATATTAATTTTCATAAACTAATTAATAAATCTATTTTGCGGAATTTTTAAAGAAAAGCACAAATTGATATTAATAGTTCCCTAAATTGTTTTTGACAAGATATATATTCTTTAATTTGTATTAATTAATTTATTCCTTTTTTAATTAATTGAAAACTTTGACGATTAAACTTTTTTCCTCAACTCAACATAACGTGAAGCATCACAATTAAATATTAAATTAATAAAAAAAAGAGAATAAATTAATTAGTAAAATCTTAAGAGTATTCACCATAACAATGAAATTAATTTTGACATATTTAACACGTTGAGGATTATTTATTTATTTATTATGAAGAAAATTTTTAATATAATATTTTCAAAATATTTAACATATTATTTTTTATAAATTTTAATTTCTTTTTCGTCACCTTTCGTTAGCTTTTGTGATACTGTGCCTGTTCAAATAGCCCGGGACCGAGCCAACATGTTGTCGGCTGGTTGCCGATGAATTGGGCTAACATGTTGGCCAGCTGGGCCTTCGAAAGCCTCGGAAAAGTCGGCAAACAGAGGCTAGAGATACGGCCGAAACTGCAGTAGGAACTGCAAATGGTGATGGGTTTCTCGTGGTGATGGAGAGATGCTTTCCGATTTCTGTGTTCTGTTTTCTGTTCTCTGTCGCAGCAGATTCCCCGCGGGCATCGGCCGACAACAATGGGCGCCCAACTTCGGTGGCTTCCATTTGGGGAGCTGGCCAACGCGGCGTATGATTAACGAAATTAGCAAACATTTATCAGTCACTGCAGGGAATCCAGCTAGATAGAAATGGAAAGTTTGCTTGTCACAACTTCTGGCCCACTTCCGCTTTCAATATTTCCCCCCAGCACTCCGCTTTCCCGCTTTTCCACCTTTTCACCTTTCCACCTTCCATTATGCAGTTAAAGTTTCTAAGTCAATTTTGCTTCACCACTCGAAATTGTTTGCCTGCTTTGTTGGCTCTCGTTCTTTTCATTTCTTTTATTTCCATTTTCATTTCCATTGGGTTTGTGCAAGTGTTTCGCTTTGTTTAATGGCAATTAACTTGGCCAGTTGGGCAAAGTTTCGTAATGAACTTAAGTTAACTCGAGCGATTATGCAAGATTATGTATTTAAAATTAAAAAATATTATTAGTATATTTAATAAGTTTCCCAATATATTTATTAAATAGGAAAAACCACTAGAAGCATTTATAATACCTCTTTTTGTTTTATTCAATGTATTTAACATTGACAAGTATTATTATTTAATTTAATAAGCTTCCTAATTTATTTATTAAATGAGAACAAAATCACTTGCAGTGTTTATAATATCCTTTTTGATTTACCATTTATTAAAAAAAAAAAAATTGGTTTGTTTCTTTGGCAAATATAATTCTTAAAATGTTTGAAGCCCTTTTACATTTTTTTTTTGCTTGTTTAACTTTAAGTTACTTTACTCAAAGCTATGAATAAGTCAAAACTCTTTGTTGACATTGAAAGCAAACAAAAACTATGATAGCAAAATGCCATAAACCATAAACTACTCCATATCTTCTGAGCTAAACATTTTGGTATGGATCTGCTTTATATGCATAGCTTGTCCGATTCGCCTCATCTTCATCGATTGCAATTGCACTCCCTTTGATTGGCTTTGTTATGTTTTATACGAACACGAAATTCTTTCCCTTCGATGTATTTTTTCTTTGCTTTGCTGCTACAGCAAAAGTGAACATTTTTCTAGATATAATTGCTTACTTTTCATACAAATATATATATATATATATGTATTTAGGTTATATGCACCACCACTCCATAGTTAGCATAAATGCCAGTTAAATTGATTGAACATGTCGTGAAAGGACCTTTAACCCTATCCCCGCCCATTTGCCGATATTATCCCTTGCCGCCCTCAATTATTGACTGACTGACAATTCTGCGGTGCATGTGGGACATGCAGAAAAAATAGAGAAAATAGAGAAAAGGGCTAAAAAAATTAAGACCGGAGCTACCGAGTCCCTAATGAACACTGGTCACAATTCATTAGGACTGAACACATTTTCCCGAAATAAATTTTAAACCTTTTTATTTTTCTTTTTATCCCACAAAATTAAAGCACATTGATTGGGTGTTTTTTGTGTTTGCCTTTACATAAAATAATGTTCATTATTTTTAATATAGGAAAATTATGCAAAACAAATAAAACAATAACAAATATCAAATGTTATTATTATCCCAACTTGATTTATTTTTATATGTATGAATATATGAATGAATCAGATTTATTGTTAAATCAAAAATTATAGGATATTTATAGGGGACCATGCCCCAACTCAAGTCTCTATTTCATCTAAAAAATTACGACAAATAAGATTTTTTCCATCCTGTTTTCCATATAAATTTATACACGAAATTTAGCACTTAAAACTTTAAAAATATTTCTGTTTAGCCACGTGTCGTAACTATTTTCAATTTTCTCTACTTACGATTCATACACAACATTACGTTTATTAAAATAATGTCAAAACATGGTAAACTCACCTGGAAAGAGAGAAGAGAAAAATAATGGTTATTAATTCAATTGGCGGGGATAAAGCGCAGTCAAGTATTTCCCAAGAAATTCACATGGAATATGAAAAATATTTGCTCGACTTTCAGACTTCATTACGTATGTAAAGTGAGGACAAACAAATAACAATTGCAAA